TGGGTGGTGTGGAAGTCAGTGGAAATTTGAAATTCAGTATTATCTTTAATTTTCAAGTCTGTCTTTAAACATATTTTCAGGAAAGACTGTATAATAGCTTTGGACAAGATACTGCACCATACATTTTGTGAGTTCATTTCTAGTAATATTTGTCCACAATACAACAGAAATGATTCACCTTCTCTACAGTACATTAGGTAACTATTAGGGCTATCATGCATTTCAGGAATACAGAATTTTAAAATGTTTTCCACAGCATTACTTAGAGTAAGGAAAGATCTAGAAATACTTCAGTAAGAGCACTAGTCTTGCTTTAGTGGGCAGATAGTAGACGAAAAATTAAAGTATTAAAAAAATAATCCATTCTACTGTGCATTATTTCACTAGATTCTACGTTACTTTACAGGCAACTCTGAAAAAGCCAAGACACTTGACACAGCATATTTATGAAATACGGTAATTTACTGAACACCCTGTGATTTCTGTAACCTTACCTTCTGCATCTAAAGAAAGTATTTGGGATTTTGTGTTTTGTTTCTTTAACACCCACATTCTTGAGCACTTTGTGCTTGTGCTCTACGTGGTGATCTCAGCTGTCTCAAGGCAGCATCTCCATACTGAATACCTGAGCCCATTCTTTCTGGATCCAGTTCTCCTGATGAGAAACAAAACGGTCACAAGAACATGGATCACTCTCAAATAATACATTCCAATTTAACTGACAACATTAGATAAGAAACACATAACGATGTTCTACTCTAGTTACGAAGAGATATATTTCTGTTTACTTTTAGGCTATTCCAAACCTGTATCATTTGCTCTTGAAATTTCCACCACATGCCCTTAATTATAATAATAAAGCAGCATGTCACTGAGTTCGGTTGCAACAAGGAATATATTTGCACTAACTACTCCTAAAAAAAGGAATACCCAAAATGTTTTTTGGAAACACTGTTAAAAAACCACTTGCTTTCAGAGACTAATATGCAAAGAAACTAGTACTGTAGATAACAAGCCAAACAAAAATGGATCAATCTGACAGAAGGACTCCATAAAGCACTGCCCCCAGAGGAAACGATCTCGAGCTTCCCTACTTCTAATATCCATTTCTGCCATCCATTTCTGCCTACTCCATACCCTGTGCCTTCAGCAATGTTCTTAAAGGCTGTATGGTGGACTGGCCAAGATTAGAAACATTTAGTCTAAAAAAACCCAAGAGAAAACAAAGAATCCCTCTGAATAATTCAGATCACTTATTTGGGTTCACTGAACACATGAGCCCTTTGTAAGTTAGCAGATGACACCATGTTGAGGGAACCAGTTGATAGCTCAACTTGGTAGGGCTGTCATTCAGAAAATACCTTGGCTGAACTAGAGGAACAGGCCAGCAGGAACCTCATGAAATTCAGCAACTACACATGCAGAGCTCTGTACCTGTGATGGAACAATCCCAAGCACTGGTACAGGGTGGGAACTGAGTAGGTAAATAGCAGCAATTGGTTAGCACTGGGACACACTGCCCAGAGGGATTGTGGAGTCTTCGTTCCTGGAGCATCTCAAAATGTTCCTTGACAAGCCCTGGCCAACATGCTCTCATTCTGAACCTAAACAGGCTTTAAAAAGGAGGGTGGACTAGAGACCTCCATAGGTTCTTTCCAGTCTCAATTTTTCTATGATTCAATGTATATGTGCTGGCACAAAGAAAAGAGGAGCAGCTCAAAGAAAACAGGACTTATTTCTGTTGTGGTAATGCCTCTTTAAATCAGTCAAGGAATTACACTATCATGAGAAACTAGCAATACTTTGTTTTGGGGGTTTTTTGTTTGTTTGTTTGTTTAAAATGAAAGCTGCTGTTTGGCATTGTTTTGATGCAGCAATCAGGAAATTCCTGTGAAAAAACAGTTTCTTTTAATCTAAAAATTTGTGTTTGGCATTTAAAATGTGTAATTAGAGTCTGAGACAGACTTTTCAATATGGCCAATACCTAAAACTCTGAAGACATCAAACAACTAGAAGATAAGAGAGAAAAACTGGAATGCAAATTGTAATGACACCTAACACTTAGAAGCCTGTCTCTGATGGAAACCTGCCCACTCGCGATGAGAGGCTTCTGGTATATTTCTAGATCTACAAAAGTAAAAATGGTTTCAACCAAGAAGCAGGAAGGTCACTTCAGAGAAACATAGTTACTAGGAAATATCCCTGAAGTCTTCTGTATTATAGTTCAAATTCTCTTGACTATATTTCCTGCTACATATGAGAAGCAGAATTAAAAGTTACGCCTGCCCTGATACTAGGTTTTTATCCTGTATTGCTAAAACCATCTAATGTCAGGCTTTATGTTTGTAGGGATATAGCAACATACAAAATGCACAGCCTACCCCAGAGCTTACTATTAAGGTAAACGCTGTGCAAAAACATCCACAATTCACAGCACCACCCTTTTTAGATATACATATCTGACTAGAAGTCCATTCCTATTAAAGCATGTGGGAAGCACCTATAAACCACGAGAGACTTCACCGCAATGAAATTTTGGTTCTTTAACTCTACTGGAGAATTCTGAATGGTGATATTTCTATGTGTGCTTTTGGTTTTCAGGGTAAAAAACCCCAAAACATTAAAAGAACAGAAAACTCAATTTACCTGATTCAATTTTATTGAGTATTTTTCTTGCACACTGTACAAAGGCCTCTTCAACGTTTTCCCCCGTTAGTGCACTCGTTTCCAAGAACATCAGCTCTGCATTTGACACCAGAAAAAACAATCTTAAAACAAGTCTGGAATATCTGATATAGGAATTCAAATCATGAAAGCTAGGAACAATTAAAAATTTCTTAAACTTAAGGAGAACTATCATCAAAGAGTATGGTCCAGAGAAATTAGCTTCTGATGGCAAACATCCTGAAACCCCCAAAAATTCCTCTGAAGTTTATACATTAACCTTAGAAAGCTGGAATCCAAAGATAATAACCTGGGCTGTGCATGCAAATAGCTCATGAAACCAAAGAACTTCACACTGTTTCCCATTAATAGAAAGTTATATGCAAAAGGACAGCCAGCAGCCACAGCTGGTAGAAAACACTATCTATAATTGATTTTTAAAAGCAAAACCAGATTTTACTGATGGCAGGACTGCAGCACAGAAGCTCAGACTGGGACTGACTTTAGCTGCCAAAGAAATGTGTCCTCAAAGACTGGAAATTCTGAATACTACAGACCAGGTAATAGTCCTCTGGTGGAAGGACTCTGAACTCATTCTCCCATGAGTAAAACTCGCTGCTTCCACCTGCAGCACACCCCATCCAACCTTGTCTATAAAATACAGAATCTGTAAGATGCTGAAAACTAGGAAATTGTGCTCTTAATTTTCTCCTCTGCCCTTTGTAGGCAAGGTAATACCTGAAGTTGTATTACAGTCCCCAGGGAATGTATCTCGACATTGAAGGTATTCTTTAAGTAGCAGCTGTGACTGGAAGAATCACTGGTAATGAGATTTAAATAGTACATGCAGTCCTTGCTGCAGGCACTGTCCTCTCTGTACGCCTCATGTACTGACAGAACTCTCTTTTCTGTAGATATTTAACAGGGTACAGTGGGCAAAGTACTTCCTAACTGCACAAAAAAATAAATTAAGTATTAAGCATCTTTGAATGCTACATTAACATTTTGTACCACTTACCATTTTCTTGTGCAAACCGGGATGCTTCTAAAAATGTAACTTCACGATCTGCATCAAGATCCTTTTTGTTTCCACACAGTATTATCACAATATTTTGACTTGCTAACATTCTTGCATCTGTCAACCAATTAGTAAGTGCATTGTAGGTTTCCCGGCTAGGTAGAAAATTACATCCTTTATTAGAACACACTCATTTCTAGTGAACAGATCACTGAACTAAAACTCAGAAGGTAAATCTGTATTTGTGGCAAACCACAAATTGCTGCTAGTCAGGCAAGTCACCTACATGTATCAATATGCCAGCTATGAACTCGGAAGAGTATCAAAATCCCTCACGAAACTATTTAAAAACTTTAAGTTTTCCAAAAGCAAAATTAAATTAACTACAATATAAAAATAAATATAAAAATTA